GGGCTGTTTGAGGGTTCCTGGGTGGTGCAGATGATTTGTGCTTGACAAAGGCATTTGACTGCTAACCAGAAGGCTGGCAGTTCAAACCCACCAGGCACCCTCGGAAGGAAGACTGGGCAATCTACTTCCATAGAGATGTTGTTGTTGTGTTGTTGTTATGTGCCGTCAAGTCGAACCCCAGTCATAGCGATTCCGAGGCAGTATCACTACGGAAGTAGATTGACCCATCTTCCTCCCAAGGAGTGGCGGGTGGGTTTGAACTGCCAGCCTTCTGGTTAGCAGTCAATGCCTTAGGCTGTACGCTACCAGAGCTCCCTTCCATAGAGATACTGTCAGAAACCTAAAGAGGGATCGCGCTATGAGTTGGATCCGACTCCACGGCAGTAGTTGGCGTTTGCGATCTGGTAGCATAGTGCCTAAGGCACTTGACTGCTAACCAGAAGGCTGGAGGTTCAAACCTACCAGCCACTCCTCAGAAGGAAGATTGGGCAATCTACTTCCATAGTGATACCGCTTTGGAAACCCAAGGAAGGGTCACTAAGAGTCAGATCTGACTCAGGGGCAGTGAGTTGGGTTTTTTTTTTTTAATCTGAAATTAACTTTTTTTTGTTTTTGTATTGTTATTCTCTTCCCCTTTCATCCCTCATTAGCCGTGTGAGAATGGGGACCATGTTGGTGTATTTTACTTCCATATCCTTAGCATCTGAAATAGTGCTTGATATGTAGTAGGTATAGAGTATGTATTTGTGAATGAATGGACTACTTTTAACTATTTATTTTTAACAATGTATTGATTTGAATTCCTCCTGTCATCCCATTTTCTGATGAAGGTTCCAAAGGGATCAGTAGCCAGTGAGCAGAGAGTAAAATTAAGAGGAAAATAAACCTAGCAAAGCTAGAATTGTTTTTACAATCATCGACTGTACCTTAGGATAGTATTTACTAAGAAGCTCTGCTTAAGTTTTTTCCCATTCAAACCATGTGTATATATATGCCAATATAAATAGATATAACATGTTATTTTATTCTTCTGTAAACTTCTTGGGTGTGGGGTTGTTGTTAGGTGCTGTTGAGTCAGTTCCCACTCATAGGGATCCCATGTGACGGAGTGGAACTGCCCCATAGAGTTTCCTAGGCTGTTTGACCCCAGCTGCTCCTGTGGAGAAGGCTATGCCAGTCTGCTTCTGTAAAGATTACAGTCATAGAGAACAATCTTAGTGGCTGTTCTGTGCCCTGCAGGGTCACTGTGTGTTGGAATCAGTTGGGCTTTAATCTTTACAGAACATCACCAGGTCTTTGTCCTGCAGAACGGCAAGGTGGGTTTCAACCACCAGTCTTTTGGTTAGCAGCTAGTGCTTAACCATTCGCATTCCAAAGCTACTTAGGGTGTGGATAGTTGATAATAGTAAATTGTTTTTCACAGTTAATTGCCTGAGTTTCTCTAGTATGTTGATGTCTTAGGTTCTTTAGTTAATTCTAAAATAGTTAAGTTCCTCCAAAGAACATTTTAGAAGTCATCCTTCAATCCTACAGTTTTGGGTTTTTAATGGTATTTTGTTTACAGAGGCTCATCCTGAATATTTATGCAAAGGTAGGTTACGAAATACTATAATTTTTTTTTTTTAAATCAGTTTGAAGTAAAGCTTTAAAATTATAAACGTTTAGCTATTTTCTAGAACTGGAACTGTATTTGTATAATGGAAATTTTTAGTATTCTCTTTTAAACCATTCAGCTTTTGACTGCTTAGTTTTCTCAGAAGAGGAAAGTAATACTTTTAAATCTGATATAGAAGTAAATTTATAAAGTTGTACTAGTAAGTATCTGAACTGCTGAGAGACACAACTACGAATCTGACTTTTATAAACTTAACGTTTTGTGATCCATACCTCTGGTAGCATAGTGGCTAAGGCACTTGACTGCTAACCAGAAGGCTGGCGGTTCAAACACACCAGCCACTCCTCGGAAGGAAGATGGGGCAATCTACTTCCGTAGTGATACTGCCTCGGAAACCCAAGGAGGGGTCGCTATGGGT